AAGTGGCGCGCCGCCCATAGAGAAGATCATGTCTCAGACATGATCGCCTACGTATGTCTCCCTAGGTTGGCGTGTGTTCTGCTGTGCAGGGCAGTTGGGTCGCCCGATTGTTTGACCCAATGCGTTCCACGGTGACTGTCTAGTACTGTGTTTGTTTCAATGAGTTTCGTATTTAAATACAATACTATCGGACTTTCTTCAGGATGGATCTTCTCTCTCGCCATGTCTTCACTGGTGCGGAACCATGAAAGCTTAGAAGGCGGCGAGTGTCAACGTAGCGATCGTAACGGGCACCAAGTAACGCGCACCACGGGTCTTGGAGCAGCCGACGGAGCGACGGCATGGGTTGAGGATCTTTCGATCGTCTGGCAACGTGAAGAAGATGCATGCGCACGAGCATCGCAGCCGTGACGGCCAGTGACTCTGGGGTCGTAGGGCTCAGAGACGCGCGGAAGGCACGATTGTTTCGTTCGAGCCAGAGCGTCATAGGAGGTGCATGTGTAGGCGCGTGATAATGTTTAAGTTTACTGACGTAAAAGTTCGGGTGCACGTTCCAATCGTTGCGAAGTTCGAGTTTGTAGGAAGTCGAACTCACGACATCAAGAACGGCAAACGGGCCGTGGCAAGTTGAACGCAGTTTGACATTCGCGCTGGCTCCAGGGGCGCGTGCACGAAAGTCGTGACCGGGGAGGGCCGATTTGTGAAAGGGGACAAGGTCGTCGAGAGAAAAGGTTGCCAATTTGGAACGACCACGGCGGTCGGATTGCGTCGCCTGCCGCTGCTGAGCGAGCGCAAGGTTGTCCTTGATCTGTCGCAACACAGATTTACAATGGGCAAGGAAGTCCGTCAAGTCCTGGACGGAACGCGCTGGAAGGTCGTGGGTTTCGGCGATGGCTTCGATCACCGGAGAAATAGCAGAAGCTTCTCCCCCCTGAAACGGGACTGTAGAGGAGTTGAGGGGTACGAGGGTGCTGTAAGTGGACAGCATAGTGGGGTAAGACGCCGGTGGAAGCCTGGGCTTGTTGTACGCAACGACGACGTGGAGGAGGTGCGTGGCCCACGAGGCAGAAGGTTGTTTCACGGAGTACGCGCGTAAAATATCCTCAAGCGCGCGGTTGGCACGTTCGGTCTGACCATCCGACTCGGGATGGTCAGTCGTAGACATGGCAAGGTTGTTGCCACAGAGCTCGAACAGAGCCGACCAAAAGTAGGAGGTGAAACGGGGATCGCGGTCTGATATGATGAACCGCGGGAGTCCAAAGCGATAGAAGACATGATCATAGAAAAGGCGAGCGGCATCATCGCCGCTGATGCACTCCTTGACAGGGACGGCCGTGATGCACTTGGACGCCCTCTCGACGCAAACCATGATACCTGAGTGACCATGAGCGTCACGCGGGAGACCAAACATAAAGTCCATGATGACCGATGACCAGAGCTCATCAGGTA